AACAAACATTCGTATTCATGAGTATGATTGTTTGTATCGGTCTGGGTGTTTTCTACGTATAATATATATGTATTTACAAAAAAAAAATATCTATGTATATGTATCAGTTATCTAGTACCCATAACACAAACTTTAGCTAGCTTAACTTGGGTCTAGATGGCACTGTGTGAATTGTCCTGAGATTATTATTATTATCATTATGTGTTGTGTATGAAAACTTAATTATTTGAGAATAGAAGAAGAAACAAGTAATTTCACTCTTTCAAATTCATATACAGAATTATTAATATTAAAAAAAAATATGGTAAATGTAACTAAATTTCCTCTCCTCTCTATCTTCTCCTACACCTCTCTGGACCCAATCTAACAACGGTACTTGAACAAATTGCCGACACCTATATCAATTAACATTTGCTGTTACACCAGCTCGTGACCACGGCTAGTGCAACCTAGTCGAAACGTCGAGAGAAGTCCCTATGTATACCTATTCGTGTTAGGACTCCTAAAAATTATAAAAATAAATATTATACACTAGCTTTTTAAAGCCAGCGGCTTCGCTCACGTAGCAGTAAGTATTATTATTAAATAAGTGTAGTTTTCCGGCTTTACTTTTGTTTAGCGTGTGTAAAAAATTAGGGTCTACAAAATCTAAGATGATTTATACAAACTTTCATCCCCTATTTTATGCCCTTAGCGGGGGAATTTATCAAAATCCTTTCTTAGGGGATGCCTACCTCATAGTAGCTTTATGAATGCAAAGTCCGATCGGTTTAAAATTGACAAAGTTTCATACAAACTTTCAACCCCTATTTTATCCCCTTGGGGGTAGAATTAAACAAAATCCTTTCTTAGCGGATACCTACGTCATAACATCTATCTGCATGCCAAATATCAGGCCTATCCGTCCAGTGGTTTGGACTGTGCGTTGATAGATCACTACGTCAGTCACTTTTGACTTATATATATATAGATTGAGAAGAACTGGCAAGAAACTCAATTGAATATTTTATTCTGTAACACAGGTTTTCTTAGCACAGATTCCATTCCGGTGACTGACGCACGTTTGAGTTATATATATTTAAGATTGAATATTGAATAATTATGAAAACTAATTAGACTATACGTAGTAGCAGCTGTGCCGAGTTTGGCGCCGGCCATTATTAGAAATCCAAGGGCTGACCGTGAAAAAATGAGGTCTTAAATATCCGTACAACATAAATTCACGTCAACTATACATCCTTGGTGCGTCACTCTCGAGAATTTATTAAATGGAACTAGAGTTGCCAACCGTCCTGTTTTCTCAGGACGTATCTTAGTTTTTATTGTTTTCTATGGAATTTCCTCATCTTTTATATAAAATTCTCGTGTCACAATGTTAGTTACCATACTCCTCTGAATCGGCTTGACCGATTTTATGAAATTTTATATGCATATTCAGTAGGTCTGGGTCGGCTAGTATCTATTTTCATACCCCAAGTGATAAAGGTTGTCCACCCCTAACATAGTTTCTATTTTTTAGGCAAAATTTTTATTTATATTTTTTTATTATGTGTCATTAAAAATACATACAACCCTAAATTTTCACCCTTCTATCACAAACCCCTATTTTTATAACGTTATTAATTTATATGGCAAAACAACGTTTGCCCTCGAGTCTCGAGAAAGTCCTCGAGTGGCGACCACGGACCGAAAGTCGCAGCGTGGGAAGGCCTCCAGCAAGGTGGACCGACGATCTGGTCAAAATCGCTATTATTATTATGTTTATATTGACACTATATAATAATGTAATTATCTATTCTCTCAAATTTGAATTTAAAAATGAATCTGTATTATTGTAAACATGTACAACATTTTTTTGAAAAGAATACGAGCCGAGTTTCTTGTCAGTTCTTCTCATCTCGAAATCATTCCGAACTGACGGTAGATTTGGTATATCATAAGAGTCTGTAATAGATCTACATGAATAAATATATTTTGAATTTTAATTATGACAAGTATATTACTGAGTCCTGGTTTTAAACTAAATTGTCCTGGTTTTTCGAACTTCAAATCCTAGTTTTTTTAAATTTAACGTTGGCAACCCTAAATGGAGCCAACGAGGACTTAAGCTGGATGCTGTGTGTTTTAATAAAATTGTATAAAAAATATTGTACCTACTCACTTTCTGTAAACATTTGGAGTTGCTGTTTTTTTAGGTGAAAGTCTCTCTAATCATTTAATGGACTGTTTTTGGAGACTCCATTTTTAGACAGATTTATTTGGTCACTAGCTGTGCTCGCGACTTCGTCTGCATGATATGTGAAAATAATTTAATTTGTTGAAACTTTTGTGAAAACTAAAACGTTATAATTTATGGGCCTCCGTGATCCAGCGCACTGTAACATAAAATCGCATAATTTCAAGGCCTACGTGATGCACCACTTTCTTTTCGATGGTCGTGGGTACGATTTCTCGCATGGTACATATTTTTGTACCCATAAATATGATTGTTTATATCTGTCTGGGTGTTTTCTACGTATATTACATATGTATTTACAAATAGAATGGTAGTATTTGTATCAGTTGTCTGGTACCCATAACAAGCTCTGCTTACCTTGGGACTAGATGAAGTTGTATGCATTATCCAAAGGTATTATTATTATTGTTTATTTATTTACAGATCAGTTCCCTAATTATAGATTCTACAGCCGGAGGTTGTAAAAGAAATCCAACCTTTTTCTTAACTTAAATTTTATTAATATAAAATAATAATTACAATGCTTGTAGTTCGATGTTAGAACAGAATATGATTGATTTATATAATTCTATAAAAATGAAATGTAACTATAGGCATGACGGGATATGGCGTGATGCTCATTGCTGATCGAGCATTTGGTGCCGCGTGCACTGTTTATTGGGGACAGTGCAAATGCAGTAGTCCTCCTATACTAGGCTTGCGTAACACCCTATGTAATGGTTTCCAAATAAATTGTACAAAATTATAATAACCTTAATTAACATTTATGTCCGTGTGGAACATAGATGTACGAGTATGATTTCATTCTAGGCAGAATGTCTCACCTACACAACTTGTTATGTAACATTTATTGTGTTAGACTTTTAAGGTAAGTCAACGACTGGGAGTAGGTACAACAGAGTAATCTCAGCCCTTTGGAATTATCAACATGAGTGTTTCTATGGACGTTACACGAATCGAGTTACCACTTACCAGCAGGTCAGCTATTTTTTTTATCTATTCTAATGTTGTTGGCCGCAGCTGGCCTTTACAGTTTCTCTGATAGGTGACAAATGTAGATGGTACACCGAACCCGCGGAAGGACTTATAGAGCATCGTATTATGATCTATCTGTGCATCAAATTTAATTCTAATCCATACAGTTGTTTTGAGAGAAAATTCTGGAAAGATTAATCTAACGTATCCGAACATCCATCATGACAAACTTCTACATTTATAACATTACTAAGATTACTAAAATAAAAAATGTATGCGTGAACAGAAATGTAAAGAATTAAATAAAAATTCACCCTCTAAGTGAAAAGACAATTTGTAATTCAATTAAGTTTTATTTGGACTCGGTATTTACTGAGAACATAAAGTGCAAGGTGTTTTAAAATGTAAAATAGAATGCTATTGACCTAAAGTTCAACTGAAACCAAAGATTTAGAATAGAATAGAAAATCATTTATTCAAATAAACTTAATTTAGGCTATTTTGAATAGTCATAACAATTTTTTTTTATCTATCGCTCGTTCGGAAAGCTGTCTCATCACAAGAAGAACTAGCAAGAAACATGTGTGTTGCTCTTTTAAATAATCCTTGTAAGTTTACATTTATAAGTCGTAACGTGTGAATACAAACTACCAAGCAGCACTAATTTATTTGGGTCAAATATAAATATACAATAAGATTAAATCAGTCGTAGTGATAAGAGCAGACCAGTCACTACAAGCAGCACTCGTTCATGAGTATGACGGATGAGCCAGCCATCACTGCGCTCGACCATATTTTAGGGAGAAAGATCTATTACATCGAGTTCCACCACCTCATACAATGTCATTTGAAGGAATTCATTAATTCATAATTTAAGAGCTACGCTCTTGTCGGTGGAGCTCTTGCCACTTTCCAGGATCTTCCATCATACTCTTGTTGTGCTTAATTTGCTTGATGTAGCTGTGCCTTGGGCTGCGATGATGATGATGATGATGATCAAGTGTCCTAACATTTTTCTTGAAGGGGTTAGGACTGAATTATTTCGTTATTTACTTTGAATACTTTCAATGAAGCCATTTTTATTACAGAATACTTGTTAAGTGTAGCTTTTTTTTAACTTATGGAAAAATCTTCAAAAGGCCGTCCCTCCGCCGGACGGGCAACGAGATGGTATGTGGGATTCTTACCCTTTAAATATAAATAAATGATTTTGATGTTTTAATAGCTTGATTTTTATATTTTTTTTTTATTTTTATAAATCCTATGATCATACAAAATATTCAATACTAGCTGAGCCCGTGGTTTCAGCCGCATAAAATTTGTAGTCTATGAGTTATTCTGATTTATAAGATATATTACAGTAAAGCCAAAATCCGTTCAGTAATTTTTACGAGAAAGATTATCCATACATACTCACAAACTTTTGAGTTTATAATATTAACTAGATGTTCCCGCTTTAACTTTATTTTTCTAAAATAAAAGTAGCCTAAGTTACTCCTTATTACATCAGATACCTGTCAAAAGTCCCGTCAAAATCGATCCAGCCATTTCAGAGATTAGCCGGGAACAAACAGATAGACAGACAAAAATTGTAAAATTTGTTATTGTTGCATTGCATGTAGTAAAAAACGGTTATTTCAATATTACAAACAGACACTCCAATTTCATTTATATGTATAGTTAAGATGTTCAGTTCTCTAACTCAAGCTCAAAAGAGCATCAGGCCTACTATTAAGTATTTCTTCTAAGAACATTAATAATTGATTAATTATGGTAACAAAATCCTTACCCGATGATGTAGGGACATGTTGCTTCCATTCTGGAACCTGACGATTGTCTGCAACGATGCCGGTGTGGACATGCTCTTCGTTATGGACGAGTTCCCTGATTCCTTCTCCTGCTGTTCTTTCAGCAGCAGACCCCTTGCTATCTTCGCGTTCAGACTCTTGTTCACATGCTGATGTGGCAGCAATGGAGCTTCCATTGTTTTTGTGGTATACGATGGAGAGGACGTCTGACTGAACGAATCTGAAGACACATTAGAGTCTTGACGGATACTAATGTTCGACCCTGAACTTGGCGATCGTTTTATTATCTGATTGTTTTGCGGCAGCGGAGCAGGAGTGTATGGAGTATCTGGCATTTTTTGGGGTGGTCTTCTTGGAACTGGTGGCTGAGGATTTCTGTTGCAGTCCAGCCGAGGTTGCGGTTGAACTGTGACAATACGACGATTCCCGTTGGGGTCTGTAGCCGGGCTTGTTGAGGGGCGAGGCGGTGTGGGAGGGGGGACCCGCCGGGGCGGTTGAGGAGAGGAACGCCGGGGCGGAGCTGGTGGAGGAACAGGTAAGGGCACTGGCGTGACAGGGGCAGTTCGTTGGGGTACAGGTGGTGGTTGAGGCTGCACCGGGGGTTGTTGAATCTGTGGTGGAGGCTGGAGCTGCAAAGATGAGATAATGTTATTGTAACAGACAGACGTAACAAAAATATGATATACAGGGTGCTTCATTTTGGTTATATCGATTTAACTTAATATTTCATTACAGGAGGAATATTGAAAACCGCAAGTGATGTTATCGTAACAGACAAATACACTATAATAAAAATATGATATACAGGGTGCTTCATTTTGGTTATATCGATTTAACTTAATATTTTATTACAGGAGGAATATTGAAGACCGCAAGTGAAGTTATTGTAACAGACAAATACACTATAATAAAAATATGATATACAGGATGCTTCATTTTGGTTATATCGATTGAACTTAATATTTAATTACAGGAGGAATATTGAAGACTGTTGGCGCGCAAGCGACGACAGTGGACGGCTGCGGGGTCTGCGGGCGCCGCGGGGCATCCGAGCCGGCAGCGAGCCCGATCTGCCGCGACACCTCACTCGGCCATTCCGTGCATTGGGCACCGCACGCACTTCTCTTAACACTTGTAATATATATTCTAAAATACATAATCATACAGTCCACAACGTGATATTATTTCACCACCCTAACCGGGCCTAGTCAATGGTCCTTCTGCACCGGTATACAAGCCGTCTTAAGCAGAGCCAAGCTGTATATATGCAAGTCAGAAATTTGAAGACCGACACGTCGTGAATAACGGTCGCGAGTTGGACTTCGAGTATCTCTTCGTGGAGTGGAGTCGTCGCACAGCCTACATAGAAGAACCGACGTCACTTGTGGGAGTATTGCACTGTATTTGAGTGAGTCCGTTCCAATTAGACTATTTTCTTATTTCTTAACGTTGCCGAAAAACTCATTCTTTACTATTCAAAACTGCATTTCTATCCCTCTTTAAATTATTTATTATTTAGCTTTGCCCTTATTTTCTTATACACAGTTACGTATAGCTTACATTACTTACTATATACATTGCATTCTATTAATTTGCGCGCTTAGAAGCAGCTAGTAACAGGCGGTCCGGTGCATCGACCTTGCACTCGACCGTGTCATTGACCGTACGTGACATTTACCTGCGCTTGCGCTACGGACATAGCTCTTAGTAACAACCGGTACGGTGCATTGACCTTGCAGTTGAACGTGTCGGTGACCGTACGCGACCTTCGGCCCCTTCTTTCGGCTTCAGCATTTCATAAGACTTTAATATGGCAGATTCTATTAAAACATTAATTAAAAAACGTAGTTCTATGAAGTCTAAAATTACAGTTTTTAACAATTATTTAAATTTAATCAGTAGTAATGCGGATATATCTCATTTGCAACGTTTGGACTTGGAGGAGCGTTTTAATAGGTTCGAGGCCATGTATTCCGATTTTGATGCATTACAGACCGACATCGAGGTGCTTTCTGACGACGCCGAGGCCGAGTCCGCTCTGGCCGACCGTGAGGAATTCGAACGCCAGTTCTTTCGTGTGGTGGCTCTCGCTCGCAGCCTACTGGCGACTTCGCGCGACGGTGCTGGGTCTGTGGCGGGTTCTGAAGATGCTAATTCAGGTGCACTCAATACAAAACAGAATTTTGTTCGTTTGCCGAAAATTTCCCTACCTTGCTACGACGGATGTTATCAATCCTGGTTGGAGTATAGGGACACATACATCTCACTGATTCACAACAATGCATGTATCGACGATATCAACAAGTTCCACTACTTACGTGCCTCACTTAAGGGTAGCGCGGCTTCAATCATTCAAAATATAGACTTCAAAGCGGAACATTATAAAATTGCGTGGGACTTGTTGTGTGAGCGATATAACAACAACCGTGTCCTTGTGAATAATCACATTCAAGCGTTGTTTGATGTTGAACAGATATCGAGGGAATCAAGTGTGTCACTTAGGGGTCTCGTTGATGTCATTAATAAAAATATAAGGGCACTAACAACTTTAAATCAGCCCACTAATCATTGGGATACCCTCATCATCTTTATAATGGCAAAAAAGCTGGACGTCACAACTAGTCGTAACTGGGAGGAACACAAAAACTCATTAGCTACCGATCCCATTTTATCACAATTTTGTACATTTTTAAATAAAAGGGCTGACTTATTGGAGTCAGTCGAGTCAAATTTCATTAATTGCAGTACTTCAATTGTCGCTTTAAATAATCAAACTAATAATAATAAATCTATCATTACTCATAATAAGAAATCAATTGCTTATAATAAACAATCTGTCATTAAATGTCCACTTTGCTCTCAAGCACACTCATTATATTCTTGTGAATCTTTTAGGGCCTTATCTATAGAAAATCGCATTCAAAAGGCGAAAGAATATAAAGTGTGCCTAAATTGCTTACGCTTAGGCCATAACGCAAAATATTGCAAATTAACTCATTGCAAATATTGCAAAGTTAAACATAATACACTTTTACATATAGAAATAAATAGTACAATCCCATCTCATCATGTTCTGCCTTCTGCATCGCCTTCTCTGTCAAATGATGTCGCTTTATCAGCCGATACTATGCAGCTTGCTACTTCTGCGCATTGTCTACTTTCCACAGCATTGGTGAACGTGACCAACGCTACGGGCAACAAGTGCACGGCACGTCTACTGCTGGACAACGGTAGCACGGCGAACTTTGTTACGCAGAGCCTGTCGGAGAAACTGGGTTTGTCACAACGCGGTACGAGCACCAAGGTAACGGGTATAAATAGTCACGTATCTATAAGTACACAGTCTTGCAACCTCACCATAGAGTCTTTATGCTGTGCTTACAAAATTGATATCGAGTGTCACATTTTGCCTGAAATTACAAAGGTCTTACCGTCTTCGTTTGTGCATGTCAGGCATGTCCCTATCCCTGCAGGTCTTCAGTTAGCGGACCCGAATTTTAATATTCCGTCGGTCGTAGACATTCTGGTAGGGGCCGAAGTATTTTGGGATGTCCTGGGCAATAATTCAATTCATTTAGGCAAACACTTACCGACATTGTGTGAAACTAAATTCGGATGGTTAGTTTCAGGTAGGATTAAACAACCGGAATGTTCGTACTCACAGTTTTGCAATCATGTTAATATTTCAAATTCACCAGATATTACTAAATTTTGGGAGTTTGATAATATATCACCTTATCACTCTTTGTCTATTGAAGAAAAAATATGTGAGCAGCATTTTGTAACAACTACTTATCGCAAAAATGACGGTCGTTTTGTAGTTACTATGCCTTTAAAAAACGATCCTAGTACCATAGGTCATTCTTATGACACAGCAAAAATTCGTTTTTTGTCCCTAGAACGACGCTTTCAACGATATCCATCATTTAAAAATAAATACATGGAGTTTATGCGCGAGTATGAACGATTAGGTCACATGACGTTGGATTCAAACTATACTACTTCAACAGAGGACACCGTAGTCACTCACTTCATTCCACATCATGGCGTCACTCGTGAATCTAGTGCTACTACCAAATTGCGCGTAGTATTTGATGCATCAGCTCCTACCAGTTCTGGCACGTCACTTAATGACATTCAGATGGTGGGACCTGTAGTTCAAGACGATCTATTATCCATTTTAATACGTTTTCGTCAACATAGGTATGTAGTTTCGAGTGACATTGAAAAGATGTATAGAGCAATAGAACTGAATCCAGACCAAAGATCTCTTCAAAAAATTGTATTCCGGTTTGACCATAAAGAACCCCTAAAAACTTATACATTAAACACACTTACATATGGTACCGCTTCCGCTCCTTATTTAGCTACTAAATGCTTAGCTAGTCTGGCGGATGACATTCAGGATAATCGAGTCAAGTGTGCAATACAGCGAGATATGTATGTTGATGATTACTTAAGTGGGGGAAGCACAATCTCGGAAACCATCGAAGTAGCTAAACAAGTGCAGTCTATTCTTTCCTCTGCTAAATTCAACTTACGTAAGTGGCGTTCTAATCATCCCACTATTTTAGCACAACTCACTAACAGTCATGACACTATGAATACACCCCTAGAATTTTCTGAGCAACATTTAATCTCTTCTCAATCTAAAACACTAGGTTTATATTGGGATTGCGATTCGGATTTGCTCACCTTTAGAATTAACATTAATTTAGTAAATAAGGTCACTAAACGTCATATTCTTGCAGTAATAAGTCAAATATTCGACCCACTGGGACTCGTCGGCCCGTGCGTAGTCGAAGCTAAAATCATTCTGCAACGTTTATGGTTAGAGAAATATGACTAGGACGACGAAATATCTCTCGAGATCAGCAACCTTTGGTCTACATTTCAAAATAGCATGTCCTCGCTTAATAGTTTAAAGATTCCTCGTTGGGTTTTGCATGAAGACTCTATCATTCACGAAGTACACGTATTTACCGATGCGTCCGAAAGGGCGTATGGAACGTGTCTATACATTAGAACGTGTAGTGGTAGTGGTTCTATAGGTGTACAGCTTCTAGCTTCTAGAAACCGCGTAGCGCCAATTAAACCAACGACAATGCCGAGGCTTGAACTTTGTGGAGCTTTGTTAGGTGCAAGACTGTGTATCAAAGTTCAAAAATCATTGACTATACCTATCCATAAATGTAGATTCTGGTGTGACTCGACTATAGTATTAGGTTGGTTGTCAACTCCTGCTAACCAACTTAATCCTTTCGTTAGAAACCGAGTGCATGAAATTCAAGAAAGCATACGGTCATACCTGGAGCTACGTACCGTCGAAGGACAACCCGGCGGATCTTGTTTCGCGTGGAGTAAAGGCCGACGTTATCGGAACTACCCCTTTATGGTGGTCCGGACCTTCGTTTTTACTTAAAAATGAAAATGAGTGGCCAATAATGCCAAACAAAACGAAACATGATTTGCCGGAAGTAGTAACTCATTTTATTAGTAGTGACAATCAATCATGTAGTAATTCATCATCTAATAACACTCATTCATTATTGATACAACATTTATTAGAAAATCATTCAAGCTTAACTAAAATACAAAGAATAGTAGCATACATACAAAGATTTATTCATAATTTAAAACATAATAGTAACAAGTTGTGCGGCAATCTCTCTACGAGAGAACTGCAAGAGTCATTAATTTATATTTTACATATGTCACAAATTGATATGTTTCCAAACGAATTTGAAATTCTAAAATCTGGTCAGACATTGCCACACAAAAGTAGACTACTTGCTTTGACACCATTTTTAGATAATGATAACATTATCCGCGTGGGCGGAAGACTTGACAATTCCCCTTACGACTTTAACATGAAACATCCTATAGTTATATGCAGCAAACATAAATTGACAAGACTTATATTTCAAATGCAGCATATTAAATTACTCCACGCCGGTCCTCAATTATTATTGTCTCACATTCGTCATACTTACTGGCCTCTAGGAGGCAGAAATTTGTCTAAATTAATTGTAAAGAAATGTGTTACTTGTTTCAGACATAAGGCTAAAAATGTCCAGCCAATAATGGGTCAGCTGCCATTAGCTAGGACACAACTTGAATTCCCATTTCTACATTGTTATGTTGACTATGCTGGACCAGTATTGATAGCTAATCGTAAGGGCCGCGGGAGCAAACTTTCAAAATCGTATATGTGCATCTTTGTTTGCTCTGCAGTGAAAGCTGTACATTTGGAGCTCGTCACAGATCTCACCACCGAGGCTTATATGGCCGCTTTAAATCGGTTTGTGGCACGTCGAGGTAAGCCTCGAAGTATTACATCCGACAACGGTACGAATTTCGTTGGCGCATCCAATGAAATGCAAAGGTTTTTGCGTACCTCGAATGTCGCATCTGAAACGGCACAGCAGGGCATCGAATTTATTTTCACGCCTGCCTACTCTCCTCATTTTAATTCATTAGCAGAAGCTGCCGTAAGGTCCTTTAAACATCACCTAAGACGTATATTAAAATTAACTCATTTTACCTATGAAGAGATGACAACTTGTCTCGTTCAAATAGAAGCAGTTCTAAATTGTCGCCCTCTCACCCCCCTTTCATCAGATCCTAATGATTTTTCGGCTCTTACACCCTCACACTTCCTAATTGGACGGCCACTCCTATCTGTGCCACAACCACAGGTGACTGACACTGACGTCAACCTCTCGAGACTGGACAGATGGCGTAGAATTCAGCACATACGACAACATTTCTGGAGACGATTTCATAATGAATACATTTCCATACTTCAGGCAAAACAAAATGGTTCCATTCATCAGACGAGGTGAAACTTGGAGCTCTCGTCCTGATCAAGGACAAGACAGCACCTCCGCTACTGTGGTGCCTGGGTCGGGTCGTAAAGATCTACCCTGGCGTGGACGGCGTCACAAGGGTGGCCGAACTCAAGACGAAGAAGGGCACCATTCGTCGTGCCTTCAACTGCATCTGCCCTCTTCCTGAGCATTGAAGACATCACTTCAACCCCGGGAGTCTGTTGGCGCGCAAGCGACGACAGTGGACGGCTGCGGGGTCTGCGGGCGCCGCGGGGCATCCGAGCCGGCAGCGAGCCCGATCTGCCGCGACACCTCACTCGGCCATTCCGTGCATTGGGCACCGCACGCACTTCTCTTAACACTTGTAATATATATTCTAAAATACATAATCATACAGTCCACAACGTGATATTATTTCACCACCCTAACCGGGCCTAGTCAAGACCGTAAGTGAAGTTATTGTAACAGATAAATGCACTATAATAAAAATATTATATACAGGTGCTTCATTTTGGTTATATCGATTTAACTTAATATTTAGTTACAGGAGCAATATTGAAGACCGCAAGTGATTTTATCGTAACAGACAAATACACTATAATTAAAATATGTTATACAGGTTGCTTCATTTTGGATATATCGATTTAACTTAATATTTCATTACAGGAGGAATATTGAAGACCGCAAGTGTACACTATAATAAAAATATGATATACAGGTTGATTCATTTTGGTTATACCTATCAATTTAACTTAATATTTAGTTACAGGAGCAAGATTGAGGACCTGTAAGTTTTGTTTCATTAATTTGGCACTTCTATGCACGCAATATATTATAATTATATAACTATTTATTGCCCACTGAAAAATAAGGACAAACAGAATAATTTTCTTAAACACCCTTAACAAAAGGCGGTCCTATCACTACAAACCATCTTTTATAGACAGCCAAGATAAATCTATATATGTTCATGATTTTACACAAGTCTTGCTTATGTAAAATAGTATATAACGTTTGATCTTTGGGAAATGTTTAATTTCGTCAATTTCATATATTTGGGAAGATATAGTTACACGAATATTTGAAGCACTTCAGAATGATAATAGTAGTCAAATATTAAATTAACTTGTCAATACAGAAATTAATATTTCTCACAATGGAAAGATGCTGAATTATGATACATAATCACTGCTAGGCACATCTCTCTAACTTGTTCTGACAGTTGTAGTTCTGAGTTGAAATCTATGTACTTGATATAGTATAAATGGTTAAATTTGCACCAAAATATACCACTAAAACAAAACTGACCTTCAGTATGGGCCTCGGAGGAGCTAGCCTGGATGGTGGACAGTACGGCAGAGCGTCTGATGGACAGTACACGAATCCAGATGGTCGTGGTGGTTGAGGAGCGCAAGCCGCTGTGGAGTGACGTCGAGGGGTCCCCGTGCTGGGCCTGAGAAGTTCTAGAAGCTTCTCACCGGGAGTCGCTGCTAGGCTGCCCGCCCTTCCGCAACTGTATAACAAAATTGTGCATGTAATTTTATCTTTTCATTTTATCTTATATATAAAATTCTCGTGTCACAGTTTTCGTTCCCATACTCCTCCGAAACGACTTGACCGATTCTCATGAAATTTTGTGAGCGTATTGAGTAGGTCTGAGAATCGGCCAATATCTATTTTTCATCCCTAAATGTTAGGGGTAGTCCACCCCTAATTTTTTTTTTTTATTTTAAGGCAAAACAACGATTGCTGGGACAGCTAGTTTCTATATACATTTAAGTATTAGGAGCATAACAATTCAAGTTTCAAAATACGAGTAAATGGCATCGATAAAGTATAATTTATAACAATAGAAATTGTAATAATACCGCCATTAAGCCGAACTGAAACAAATCGTATACAATTATTCTACGTAAAAGGCCAATTTTATTCTCTAATGTTAGAATAGAATAGAATAGAAAATCATTTATTTAAATAAACTCACATTGAAGCACTTTTGAATAGTCATCACATTTTTTTTAATCTACCGCTCATTCGAAAAGCTGTCTCATCACAAGATAAACGAGCAAGAAACTTGTGTGTTGCTCTTTTAAATAATTTTATTCTTACTTTACAATTTAAGTTTAAGTGTGAATGAATACAAACTACCGATTAGCACTAATTCAATTAAATAATCAAATAGAAAAAATATTGGATACACAACAACTGGTTAAACAATTAATAATGTGTTATGGGTAGTAGATAACTGATACAAATACATAGATTTTTTTTTGTAAATACGTACATATTATGCATAGAAAACACCCAGACCGATACAAACAATCATACTCATGAATACAAATGTTCGTGGATCAAACCCGCGACCATCGGAAGTAAGGCGGTGTGCTAAACCACTAGACCACCGAGGCCGTCAAGTATGTATATATACATATATTAGCTATTCGCCCCGTCTTCGCACGAGAGTACATGTATTATATATATAAACATTCCGCTCGAATCACTATCTATTAAAATTATCTCATTAAAAACCTTTGCTTAGTTTTAAAGATTTAAGCATACATAGGGACGGACAGACAGCGACAGCGACTTTGTTTTATACTATGTAATAATAATGATGTATATATATGTGTATACATATTATATATGTATTTTCTATATACTAGTACCTATGTAAATACAAAAAAATGTATTTAAGTAATTATATCATTTGTCACTTCAAGGAGCACCGTTTAAACATACGTAAAAAGATCTTGTGATATATGTTACCTATATATATCACAAGCCCTTTTTGCGTATGTTTGAACGGCGCTCCGTGAATTGTCCATATATATATTATTTCCAAATGATAATGCAATCCAGCAATCACATATTGGTGAATCACATAAGAGACATGTCCGAACCACAATGGCGGCGGTAATTAACCGTCGTGTTAACGACTGGAACATGTCCAGGTCACGCGTGAACATGTCGTGAACATGTCGAAGTCTGCGGCTTGTCAACGACACAACGCTCATGTATAGGGTTGCCACCTTTTGCAGTTAAAGTACATTGGTTATTATAAATAAGAAAAAAGTATATAGTATCAAAAATAAATCTTTTTTTATTGTTATATTTAAAAACATATTTTTTATTGATTCTTGCAGTTTGTATCAAATTTTTATCTCTACGGAATAATTGCATAGCATCTTTAAAGTCTATATTTAAATGACGACCTCGGTGGTCCAGCGATCAAGCACACCGCTTTACGACCGATGGTCGCGGGTTCGATTCCTCGCACGGCACAAACATTTGTATTCATGAGTATGATTGTTTGTATCGGTCTGGGTGTTTTCTATGCATAATATGTACGTATTTACAAAAAAGAATCTATGTATATGTATCAGTTATCTAGTACCCATAACACAAGCTTTAGCTAGCTTAACTTGGGTCTTGATAGCGCTGTGTGAATTGTCCTGAGATTATTATTATTATTATATATATATAAACCTTCCTCTTGAATCACTCTATCTGCTAAAAAAATTCATTTCAAAATCCGTTGCGTAGTTTTAAAGATTTAAGCATAAGTCAGCACCAATTAATAATTTTACTATTTTACTATTTATAATCTTATATATAAAATTCTCGTGTCACAGTTTTCGTTCGATAAAGCCGAAACGGCTTGACCGATTCTCATGAAATTTTTTGAGTGTATTGAGTAGGTCTGAAAATCGGCCAACATCTATTTTTCATCCCCCTAATATTAGGGATAGTCCACCCCTAACTTTTTTTTTATATTAAGGCAAAACAACGTTTGCCGGGACAGCTAGTTTTACTATATATTTGATAATTTTAAATTTCGTTTAATGAAACGATACATACGACTAAACTTTTCAAAATCCCAAAGAAATCAAATCATGGAAAATGTGTACTTTATTATTTACATAAAGTATAGAGTACAGTTACTTGAAATAACGTAAAATACTTCATTATAAAGTACGGGGGGCAAGCCTACTCATGTATGTCATAATACATGATTGGAAACAACCTGTATATAGTATAAAAATATTTAATTTCCTTGACAGTAAACGAATTTTATTTATGCATCTGAAAACTTCCATCAAATAGTTTTTTATAGTACTAGCTGTACCCGCGACTATGACTGCGTGGAATTTAACAAAAAAGTTAATTAGAGAGTTTTTCTAAAGTAAAAGTAGCCTAAGTGACTCCTTATTACATCACCTGCCATTAAAAGTCCCGTCAAAATCGGTCCGGCCATTTCAAAGATTAGCCGGAACAAGCAGACAGACAGACAGACAAAAATTGTAAAAAATGTTATTTTGGTGTATGTACCGTATTTATATTCATATGCATGTATTAATAAACGGTTATTTCAATATTACAAACAGACGCTCCAATTTTATTTATATGTATACATTAAGATTACTCTGACTATATCTGCGTGGAATTTAACATTAATTTTCTAAAATAAACAATTTTGTTGTTAAACACAAAATAAAAACAAAATGTTATTTTTTTGTATATATACTGTATTTATATTCATATGCATGTAGTAAGAAACGGTTACTTCAATATTACAAACGGATACTCCAATTTTATTCATATGTATAGATTAAAACGGTTTATAGATTATAAAATTCGTTAGTTTTGAACAGGCTTGGTAATGAAATGAAATGAAATGCTTATTCTTCTTGTGATGAATCTGCATTCCGAATAAGCGGTAGAATCAAAAACCTTGACTATTCAAAAGTGCTTTTATATGAATAAAGATTATTTCTATTCTATTCTTAATTCCTTTCTTTTTTATTTTAGCTGGAAATATAAAATAAGAAATGAAGAAATACATTAGTGTACAATATTTTTTTTATTATTTATTTTATTGGTGTACTATTTACAAATACCGTAGACTACATTCCGTTTAATTATCTGAATTATAATCATTATTGTCAATTGCATACGGTTTATGTTTCAATAACTGGCTACATGTAGCTACTATAGCCAAAGTACATACTGCAGCGATCCTCGCCTACTCTAATTTCCTAAGCTTCCACCAGAATGACAGTTTATTAATCTTGGCATGTCACCGTCGAGAGACTGCCATGTTTTGACGTATTATACTTGGAGACAATTGTAGTTCAAGATTCATATATTGTTAACTATAGATAGATGGTCTTTGACGGGTGTTAATATATCCTCTTTGTAATTAATAATAGTTTGTTTATTTATTTTACCAACATTGTATTTTTTGACGATTTTGACGACCTCGGTGGCATTCCTCCTCCCACGGAACAAACATTTGTATTCATGAGTATGATTGTTTGTATCGGTCTGGGTATTTCCTATGTATAATATTGTTTAGAAAAAAAATCTATGTATATGTATCAGTTATCTAGTACCCATAATACCAGCTTTAGCTAGCTTAACTTGCGTCTAGATGGCACTGTGTGAATTGTCCTGAGATTATTATTATTATTATTGTTTCAGTACAATCACAATAGCATCGATTCCTACACTAGGCTGGGCTGGGCTGGCTTTAAGAACCAGAATACGAATTATCATGTAAAAAATTTAAGTCTAATAGTACAGACAATTTGCTAAGCTAAAATATCTAGAACTTTCTAGTAGAAATAATATAATAATGAGTGGGGTGGCAAGTGAGTACGTGTGAGTGTAGGGTGTTTGTGTGTCTGGATGGTGTATGAATATGGTTGGTCTGTTTTTATTTACTTATTTAAGAAAAGAATAGAATAAAAAATCATTTAAATGCAACGCCAACAGATGGCGCCGTAACAAAATTAAAACGCGCTAATGTTTCGTTTTATAGAAAGTCCATATATATTTTACTTCATATCATATTTTGTATCTGTACCTGTATTGGAAACCGAATAATAAACTTTATATACACGAGTGTAGTGTTTTGTTTTATAGTACCCTTAGGACCTTGTGGTTTTAACAGCCTCTTAAGAAAGAATAAGCTCTTTTCTTGAAGGTTTCAGTATCGTACCGGTTCAGATATATCTGCTGCTGGAAAGTGATTCGACAATGTGGAATTGTGTGGCAAAAAATTCTAGAAAACCGCACTGTGGATGACCTCCATTCATCCAGATCATCAGGATGGTATTTTAGTTTCCGGCACGCGATACGGTACAAATAATAATAATCTCAGGACAATTCACACAGCGCCATCTAGACCCAAGTTAAGCTAGCTAAAGCTTGTGTTATGTGTACTAGATAACTGATACAAATACATAGATATATTTCATTTCGTAAATACATACATATTATAGTAAACACCCAGAATACAAACAATCATACTTATCAATACAAATGTTTGTGCCGTGCGAGGAACCCGCGACCATCGGAAGTAAGGCAGCGTCCTAAACCACCAGACCACCGAGGCCGTCAAATAAAGAGTGTAATATTAGTATAGAGGGGGAAAGGGGATTGTTAGTAATGTGGATGTATAACCCCATTGCTAGCAATGTACAATGTCAGGTCGACCTCAACGCGGTTTCC